TATATATATATATGTATATATGTATATATGTCATGCCAATTTAGATATGGCCATATTGAATATTAGTTCCGCATTTCCGGATGTCATACAATGACAGCGCCATTAATAACAACACTGGAACAAGAGGGGAAATTGGAAACTCTATACACAATACGAGTGCCGGCCGGGATTTTTCCGCGAATCCACGAGGCCATTCGGCTTCCTTCTAATCGGGACCTTATCAGTTACGCTGCCCCGCGAATCACAGATCCTTGCCGCAAATCCTTCCGCTTTAAAGCACGTAATATGATTTGAAAGGGCTAGGCTCCTCAGTCTCAGCCTCTTAGCTATTCAAGCTAGTTCAGAAAGTCCAAAAAAGCTCCGCCACCGGTATGTAAGTATCTCTACCTTCGATCGATAGCTTTCTCGATCTCGATCTCGGATAGCTTTCTGGCCTACGTGGAGCTTTCTCTCTCTCTTATTGTTTCTATAATTTATGTGCGATACAACAAGGCAGTATGATATAAAATTATATGAAATCATACAATCTGCGTTCCGGCTCCCGAATAATTCGATTATGATTACTGCGTGCAATATATTTCCTTCTTTGTACCTAGTAATTCTCACATGCCAAATGATTAATCGGCAGTAATAAATAGTGAGCCAATCGGTAGTGAATCAATAGATTCGTTTGTAAATATCAATCAAATGCATGGATAAATTTGTAAATTAATATGCAATACAACTTATAAAAGGAGAAAAATTTCTGATTACACAGGCCCACAAAAAAAAGAAACTTTGTGCTGGAAATTTAGTTATTTTTATTATTTTATATGTATTTTGAGTCGCTGAATACGAATCTCACATTAAAATAAGATCCAGGATAAATTTTCAATCTAGAGCGAAAAAATGATACATTTTTTCCCATTTTTTGACTTATTTTTTCGCTTTTTATCCTATTTTGATGTCAGATTCGTATTCAAAATACATAAGAATAGTTTGGTCTCCATCTCAGCACAGGATCTTTTTTTGTGGGCCTATGTTATTATAATTACTGTATGCTATGTGTTTCCTTCTTGGATTTAATTCTCAGTCATTAACTAATTAATCGGTAGTGATTAATAATAATGAAATAATAAATAGATAGAAAGATAAATTCGTTTGTAAATCAATTAAGTGTGCGTGAAACGTTATATGTGATACAATTAATGTAAAAGGCAAAAATTCGCATAAATGTGATACGTGATATAATTAATGTGAAAAACAAAAACTTACTGCTATTTGGTGTAGATTTAAGAAAATCTCTAGAATTCACGATCATGAAATTATCCTGCCTTTTTCTAGGCTGCGGTATGAAAACATCTCAAGATTGGAGAGGGGGAGAGAGAGAGAGAGAGAGAGAGAGAGAGAGAATGGAAAGAAGAAAAATGTGTACATACCATCGTGTCACGCGTAGTAAACAATTTCTTGCAACTGAGCGCCCGCATCGGACAATGCGTTGCGCCGCCCCTATCTTCCGTACACGACCTATAATTCGGTCTAACTCTAACTATTTTCGCTTATATTCAAAAACTAAGTTACGGATAAAATTTTGGCCAAGGAAAAATTATCTTAGAATTATG